CCGCCGTCAGTGTTGGGCGGGGTGGGGGGGGGGTGAGAGGTGACCACCTGCAGGCACCGCCAGCAGTGTCGGTGGCACTTTTTGCAGGGGGTGCACCGCCAAGCTCATGGGGTGTACGTGCAACTGCATGCACCCCCTACACATCGCCAATGACTTGTAGTTTGAGAGACAGAGGGATTTATGCTTCCCTGTGTGACATGCTCTCTCAAGAACTACAAGTCCCAGAGTCCCTTGTGCATATAGATGGGGAGGGGAGGGACAAAGCACCATATAAGCAGGGACATTGATCCCAGGGACAGTGGAAACCGGTGTTGCTGGTAGGATTTACAGGCCCAAAAGTGAGTAATGAGCTAGGCCTGGTGGTTTAAACATTGCACAGAGAAGAACTGAAATGGGGATAGGGCTACTCCCTGGAAGGAAAGGACATTTCCTTCTTTCTCTCTCTCTTTTTCTCACACATGCACACACACCATGTCTCACTATAAATACAAGTCAGGCAGCCAGAAACATAAGGATGTAAAACAGGGAACTAAAAGAAGCTAAAGGACACCAATCAATCCTCCAGTTTTTCAAAATGGAGAAGGTCTTTCTGCAGTCTGGCTCAGGCAATATGCTGACGAGGGAAGTACATGAACAAAAGCAAGATGGAAATGATTTTAATATAGAGACTGTGTCTGTGGCAACTGATGATGAAGAAAAGCTGCCAGATGCATCATGTGACTCCAATCTAATGCTTTCAAAAGATAGTCAGGTAATATCACCATTAGCAGTGCACCACTACATTCAGAAGAAGTACACACACACCAACTGCTGAACCCTGATGAAGGGTTTTTGAACCCAAAAGCTTGCTTAATAATTGTTTCCCAACTATTTAAGTTGGTCTAATAAAAGATATCAGATTCACCCAAAGAACCTTGTCTGCCAGACTTCCAATGGAGAACAGCTACCAAGAGACTGGCTTGTTTGGAGTCCTACCAATCAAGCACTGCATTGCTTTCTATGTTGGTTACTTTCTGAAGGGAGACAAAAACAATGCAGTATGCTGGCAAAAAGTGAAGGGTATCCACCAAATGTGGAAAAAATGGCAAAAGCTATATTATAAACTTCCTGAATATGAAAAGAGCATAGAACATAAAACTTGCTACTGCCAGTGGAAGTAATTACAGCAGTCATTGTCAGGTGGACTGGGAGTGGACAGCAAGGTTCAAACAGTGGTGACGCATAGGGGGTGCATGGGAGTGCACGTGCACCCCCCGAGAGCGCTGGTGCACCCCCTCACAGCTGGTGCTCCCCGCTTAGGTGATGGGCTCCCCCCTGTGAGCACCAGCTGGGGAGATGGTCGCTGACTGGCTGCTAGGGGGGCACATGCCAGTCGCCCATGGGTTCAAGAACAAATATTAACAGAAACAACAAGATGGAAAGAAATATTGTAAAGCTTGTTGGATGTTACCTTATATCTTGCTTCAAGAGATTTAGCATTCCAAGGAGATGATAATCTGATCGGTGACCCACACAGTGGCAAGTTTCTTGGAACTCTTGAATAGCTCATCATGACAGCGTCACTCATGACCATTGGACCAAAGTCAAAGAGAAGCAAACAGAGGTCGAAACGATGCAAGGACAGGTTCATTATTATTTCTCATGGAAGAGTCGGAATGAGTTTATTGAATTATGTGGTAAGAGTGTGCAGAAGGCCATCTATGCAGAGAGAGAAAAGGCCATTTATTATTCTGTCATATGTGATTCTACTCCTGATGTCTCTCACCAAGAACAACATGTGTTGATATTCCAATTTGTAGTTCACAACAAAGATACTGGTACATTTAACATTAAAGTGAGGGTTTTTTGAGTTTATCAGCTTTGATTTAAAAAATGGAGAACAGATAGCTGAAATGCTAATTGCCATCTTGAAGCATCATAACGTTCCTCTTGATGACTGTAGAGGTCAAGGTTTTGCTAATGGCTCTATTATGTCATGGAAAATAAAAGGTGTTCAGGCCTGCATTATGTCCAAAAATGAATTTGCTGTGTGTTCTCCTTGTGCTTCCCATTCACTAAATCTTGTAGGAGTTAATGCTGCAGAAACATTAACATTTGTGCAGCAACTTTTGTGTTTTTCAGTACTAGCACTCTGAGGTGGAAGATTATAATAGAAAAGATATACTGCTTACTCCACTCTGTCAGACACACGCTGGGGTGTAGGTGCTGATGCTATCCGTCCACTCACAAAGCATCTTCCAGGTCCTCTGGAAGCACTGGAATGTGCTGTTGAATTAAAGTTGCCACATGAAGCTCAATCACAACTGGAAGCACTGAAAAGGTACTTCAGCTCATTTTCATGCCTTTTATTGGCTACATGGGCGATCAGTGCCTCCTGAGTCTGGAGGAACACTAGCACCCAATCGCCGAGCCAGCTGCAAAACCAGAAGTGTACTTCTGGCAGCACTTCCAGTTTCGCAGCTGTGCACCCCCTGGAAGCTCCAGCCGATCTCGGGGTGCACGTGCACCCATGTGCACCCCCTACGCATCGCCAATGGTTGGCTAGCTTCTGGCACAAGGTTCTTTCAAGTATTGATGACAGAAAAAAGATTTTACAAGCCAGGAGAATCTCTGCTGAATCAGAGGCAGCTCTCATTGCTGGTATTATTGAAGAAGTAAAACAACTTAGAGATTAGTGGCCCAAAATTCTACAGGGAGCATGTCTTGTACCAGAAGGCATGGGAATTTTGCCACAATTACAAAAAAAGAGAGGCAAGAAGCGGAAAAGATTTCATGATGACACAGCTGAGGAATCAGGTTCTACCATCTCTGAAAATAATCCAGAATCTTTATTCAGAGGAATGTTCTTGATGCAACTTTGGATAACGTTATCTATGGATCAGAGCGCAGATTCAAAGCAACAAATGATACTTGTTTTACATTCCGTTCAATCCTAAAATATGTGACACCACAGCCTGA